CCGAAAAATCCAGTTTGATTTGCTCTCTGATTCTCAAACTTTGGTCTAAACGGAAAACATCGAAAATTTTACTGAAAAAAAAACATTAAAATATTTAGATCTGATTGGAGAAGGACAGTTATGATTAGATGGACTTGTTTCATTAGCTGTCATCATTTCATTGTTTTCGTTTGTAAGTTTTGTGCATCATTTGCATACCTATATCCAATTGACAGGATTAACGATGTTTAACGAATACATGTTTGATGTAATCTAACAGTACTTAATGAGAAATTTTCAGGTTCTCTACAATTATTATCAACATTGAAACAGAGCTGACAGTCTGGTCTGATGACCTGCCATGCGTCTGCAGACCACCAAGCCAAGTTTTGAGATATTAGTCTGGCCTGGAGGCCAGGCCGAAGTTTTTAGTCTGCAGGGCATCGAGTCAAAGTTTTTGTGTACTGATCGATTCTGATTAGAGGAGGTATTGTAAGTTCACAATGCTTTGATGAATTTATTAAAGTTCTACTTCAAATTGTGATACTCAAAGTTAAAATGTCACGCTTTAATCCTGAGATGATCATTCGTCATACGCTCTAATTTCTACTATTCCATCCTAGTCTGGACGTAAATGCTATTGTAAATGTATTACTTCACTCTATATTCTGATTAAAATGACAGTGATGTATCTTAATGATGTCAACGTATCTCATCCGTTCTAGTTTATCCTTAACTACGAAGGTTGAAGGACACACTTAACTCTGAACATATAAGTTCACTCAAATTACTACATATACTTTTGATGATAGATAAGTCCTTATTCACTAATTTATTCCTTGTTTGTAATTTTATATTGGTTTATAATTGAGCTAAAGTGTATCGCAATAGATAAGGGAAATAAAGACAAAATAGAAATGGAGCTGACTAAAAGTGAATCTCAACTTACGTTAGTACTATTCAGTAGACCAAGAAAAAAAAGTAGATGTTTCTTAATGACATTAATAGGATTTTCCGTTTTTTGGTTCGTATGATTTTTTTCTAACGATACATATTTTTTAAAGCATTGTGGAGCAATGCTGCTGGAATGAGATCTGATTTGCAAGCATAGTTTTTCGCATAGATAAAACTGTATTTTTTGTGTAGTTTTCTATATTTGGATTTTATATTTGGTGAAAGAGCTAGTCATTTTATCATCTTAATTGAGAAGAACTGAATATATGATTGAGACTAGCATTAGGGAATAAGGAACATATCTGATGCATATTATGCAATTGTTTCTATAAATTCAGTAAAAATTCAATAAATATAGTCTATTCTCTCAGCCACCTGCAGACCACGCTGAATAAGACTAGGCCAGATCACGTCGAAGGCCGAGTAGTTTATTTTGTCCTGGCCTAATAGAAGTGTAGAGGAAGCCAAAAAAGTGGCCTGTTGGCAGCTCTGTACTGAAACATGAGAATGAAATGCCCATATTTGCGATACTCAACAAGCAACTATTCACTTTGATGGTTCACTTTATTAGCACAAGCGTCTCTCGTAATAATGCAGCAATTGACCAGCAAAATCGATCGTGATCAGTGAAAACAATCGAAAAATTTCAATTATATCATCGAGACAAGTCTTTTTGTTCTTTCAGTTTCTATCCACATTTCGCAACATCGTATTAACACATAATTTAATCTGATCAGACCTTATTGTGTTGGAGGGCTATGCTTATGTCTGGAAGATTCATCAGATGAACTTGAAAATGAACACTATTATATGCATCAACTAAATTTTTGTCAATTTCTCTTTCGGTCAAATTAGACCTTGGTAAGTGCATCAACGATTCACATTGAAATGACAAAAGTCATGAATTGAGCAGCAAATATGAGCAAAAGTGAAAATCCATCAATTGCTGGATTTTAGTTGTCAACATTAACATCACATTTGTATTTGGAAGAGAATAAAACGTTTCATTATATGAATCTTCAAGTGACTCTTGTCATCGACATATCCGAAACGAAATTCTATATAATAAATATGCAAAAGTCAATCACTTGACCATATGAGATCACTTTCAACACCATTCTCTTTTCTAGTAAGTGATTTTTCCTGTTTTTTTTCTCTTGAAGGCTTTATATTACAGTGGTTTAAATGCGATAAGACACTTTGTTTTGATCGAAAATGTTGTAATATATCTTGTTATTGAACTGCAAAAAAGTTTTGTTCACGATTCAATATGTATGATCATTCAAACTTTCACTGTCATTCATCTCCGAATAGAATTTTCTGGTTTTTTCTTGTCTTTATTTTAGTGCTTTGTCTTGAATTATTTGGCTTGCTTTTTCTTGTATCCAAACTAGCCATTGTTTCTTTTGTTCACCTATTACTAAGACGATGTTTTAGACGTCAAAGGAACACCAAACGATCTACTGTACTTGCAAAACTTGTTGACAATTATATATTTAAAAAATATGTTGAAGCAGCCATGAAAAATTTGAATAAATAAAGAAATGGACTAGATATCGAATTATTAGAAGTTGATATTAATCAAGTATCTATAAATGATTTCAATACTATTACAATAGATGATTTAAAAAATAAAGAAATTAATTTGAACTAATAAGAAAATATTTTACTTTATAGAGAGTATTACAACAGTCAAATTAATTATTGATATGATTATCTCTTCCTCTATATCAAGAAGAAATTAAAGATAATGCTAAGATATTTTCTGTCGGATATGATCGAACGATTGAATAATCATCCACTTTTATATTTTTATCTGATGAAATATGAAACTCAATAAGAATAAGTAAAACAAAAAAACAAACATGAAATTACGCTTTTGCTCAACTCAATAAGATTGACTATGTATCAAATAATGTTTTAATACGAAATCTATTTCTATCAATGTTAATGTCAGGCTTCGTAGTCGTCCTATATTTCCTATATGTTCGAAAGAGTGAGGGGTGTGGGTGTGGGTGTGGGTGGGGTGTGTGGGTGTGGGTGGGTGTGAGTGTGTGGGTATGGGTGTGGGTATGGATGTGAGTGGGTGTGGGTGTGGGTGTGGGGTTTTTATGGCATCCAGTCAACATCCACACCAACACCCACAACCGTCCACACCCACCCTAGTCACCTACATCCACACCCACATCACACCCCACCCACACACCCACACCCATCTCTATGAAAATAATCGAAAATAAAAACTATTCCTTCAATATCTGCAATAGAACGGTCGGGCAATTTTTAGGTATTTTTAAAAGAATAATAAAAAATATCATTAAATAAGACAATGGCGAATCTGTCTTGAGTTATAATACAAGTGTTCTCCAACGGCATTTTGCAATATAAAAAACAACAATAAAAGTAGATTAATTTCCGCATATTTCATTTTACATTTTCCATTAGATGAAAATTTGTCCGACAGTTATATATTTTCTAGTGGAATGATATAAATTCCAATCTTATTTTATTCATTAAGTAGTAAAATTAAGTAAACATAGATCAATAAATGATTATTATTTACATCAACAATTCGAAATGATTATTTATTTAATAGTACAAAAAAGAAAATAGAGAAGTTTTATTATTTTATTGATTACCTAGAAGTCAAAAATTATCTATTCATCGATTCATTTTTGTTTTTTCAATAACTAATGTAGCAGAAAAGTCTTTTGGATGTTCTATCCATTTAATCTTAAAAGAATCATTAACTTTATTATTTTTTGCAAGTAAAGTTTTTCGATAATTATTCATTCGTTTCGACACAATTGTTCTCAAATATATACCTGTAATATTAATACGAACCTTTTCAAGGTTTTCTAAAATTGTCCATCGACTGTAAATTAAATTATAAAACATTTTTTCGTCTATAATCACATAATAAATATCCATATGAAGTTCTCGTAGAGCGGGAACTTTCATTTGTAAGTGTTCGTAAAAAATTGACGAAAGATTTCGAACTCCTCCTTGAAATTTAATAGTTCGAAGTGCCGAGAGATTGAGTATTTGCCCATAGAACAATTCATCTGGTTTCCAACAACGGTATTTATCACCAAATATTTCAAATCGCTTTAATTTCGGCATATTAGTCAACAAGAAATTCATGAATTGATAATCAAATAGAATTGGAAAGTTGATATAAAATGTTTCAATATTGCTTTTCACATTGAAATGATAATCAAAGAAATATATTATATCCATAACAGTTAGTTGAAACACACGAAGAGTAGATATACTTAGTATAGTTTTGATTAAGATCGGCATTGTTTTACATGTTATGGATAGATATTCAAGTGAATGAAGTTTTTTAAGAATTTGACAAATGAGTTTTGTTTGATGTGTGTTTATTGTAATTATTAATGATTGTAATCGAATGAATTGATGAGCATTTCTATGCAGATAATCAGGAACATATTCACGTTCACTTTGACTTGTTAATTGTAGACAAACGATACGATTAAGTATTCCATCAAGCCAACGAGGAATAGCAGGACATTGGATATAACGATTCACTTGTTTTTCCAATTGAACATAAAACGTCAGATAATCAGAAGCAAGTAATTGATCAAAACGTCTATTTAAGTTGGTAAAAGCTGTAAATAGATCATGTGCTTTCAAATAAGAAAAAATGGAAAGCCATAATTCCTTTGGAAGATATTCGGCTTGTGTCTGCATTCTATTCTACTTTAATAGTTTTCTTCATTATTGAAAAAGAATCAAGTAATATTTAAAGCAAGAAAGCAAAACAAAGTTCATCTACCATGAAGCCGTCACCGATCATTTCATTGTGTATTGAATTATAGCAGTCTGTGCGTTACGGACTATTCGCCGCATTAAATTCGTCGTCAGATAATCTGTCGAGAACAATAAGTTATAGATACGACCATTTGGAAATCATTTCATGTCTCTATATCAACTAATTTTTGTCGTAGTTCAAAACTTATGAAACACGATGTGTCTCTATTTTCATCTATCAAAACTTTATTGTATTGATTTAGTCAAAATTTATTGAAATCGAATAAATAAATACATCGAAATAATTTGATTTGAACAAAAATCTACTTATAATAAAGGAAAATAGAGATAAAAATCTTTTGAATGAACACTTGTCCCAGGAGTATGAAGGCGTTTTAATTTAGCACAAACAAATCGCGTTGCATCGCTTGTAAAGTTTTCTATCACAGATAATAAATGTTCATATTGGATTTCAAGTTCGTTGAGAGAAGGAAGATATGTATTTGTATTGAGAAGAAATTGTTCAATATAATTGAAATGAGCATATGAGAGATTGAGTTTCGAAAGATGAACGAATTCAATGATTAAAAATCTTTTTTTATTATCATATGAGTTTTGTGTTCCTTTCTCGTTCTGTTGTATTGAATTAAATATTGTTAGTTGATTGAATAACGGAAATGAATGAGAAATTCGTTTGAAAAAGTCATATTCAAATGGACGTATGTCATCAAATAAAGATGACGTGCGTACAGTTCTGAATATACCTCCTGGAAAATTGTTTGTTACAGCATGCATATATTTCATGGTAAATGGAAGTGAATAAATATGACATCGGCCTTCTTTGTTTGGAGAACAGTCGATATAACAATCAACATGTTGGACAAATGTACGTCGAATATCATCACTAGACTTCGAAGCTTCATTGATGTTTATAATATGTGTAACAATGTCGAAGAGAAATGTATGAAGATTAGACATTCGGCTGAGAATTTCGTTGTTCAGATGAGTACCTTCGATGAATGTTCTTCGATTGCCAACTGTGAGGGATAATGTAAGCTTTTCTAACTGTACCATTTGACGAAGTAAGGTACGATTTCATCATCATATGTCGCTGTTGTAACTAGAGGTGTAAGCCGACGCCCTGATCGGCGGCGGCGGCTCGAAATTGTTAATTTTTTTGGTGCTTCGGCGGCGCCTAAAAAAACTTCCAGCCTTCGGCGGCGGCGGCTGAAAAATTTTTAAATTTTTTACCGTTACGGCGGCGGCGGCTGGAGTTGCTTTTAGTTATTTTTCAAAAAACTTTTCAATTTTGAGAAAGTTTGAAGCGAAAAAACGAAATGGAACATCAATACAAAACGTTATAATAAGAGACTAGGTTGAAAGAAACCTAAAAACTGGTTCTGTCGTGGGCAAATATTTGGATATATCCATGGAAGAAGGGTTTAAACCATTCTATCTTATAGATATCTTCATGAATGTATCAAATATGAATACCTCGAATATGAATATCTCCTCTGCTCTCATTTAAATCTAAAAAAAAGAGAAGATCAAACTTTTTTGTTTTAGTTCGTATCATGCTAATATATGTATCATGAAACTGTTTAATTTTTTGCAAAATTCGTCGACATGATCATTAAGTTTTCAGAAAAGACTTGTAGAAGAACATTAAGATTTGTCGTGAGAGACAGTTCTTTGTCAAAAATATTATTAGTATTGTACTCATTTTCGATCTGGGTACATCTCGGATAAAGCGTTGCTTTCAACAGATCAATAATTAGCAGACTTTTTTTGAAACAGTAAAATCGAAAAATACACAGTATACAAATAAAAATACACTATAAACGTTTATAATCCTCAGCAAAAAAATGCTGACACATAATGTTTCATTGTATCTGCTGTAATATATGAAAGTTTGTTTATTGCATCCAACAACAGGACAGCTATCTTTGTCAAACGACAAGTGAACATCTCCAACATTTTCGACCCTTAAAAGAAATGAAGCTGTTGTTACTGCACGAGAACCATTTGTATTTAATCATTATACGAAATCGATTCAAAAAGAACTGATTATGACTGAAAAAGTTTAGCTTAAATATGTTCCCTCTTTACTGAAAATTAATCTAAAGCTACTGCCATATTTGATAAAGAGCTAACTCTTACGGCACACCCTATCGGTCTTCTATAAGTCTATTCTGAAAACTTAATGATCATGTCGACGAATTTTGCAAAGAATAAAAAAGATTCATGATACATATATTAGCATAATAAGAACTAAAACAAAAAATTTTGATCTTCTCTTTTTTGAGATCTAAACGAGAGCAGAGGAGATATTCATATTCGAGATATTTATACTCGAGATATTCATGAAGGTACCTATAAGATAGAATGGTTTTAAATCCTTTCTTCGTGGGTACATTCAAATATGTTTTTTTGTCAGACTAAAAATTTTTGGAAACCTAATATATATATTAATGTCACGGCGTCGGCGGCTCCAAAATTTTAATTGTTTTTGGTCCATTGGCGGCGGCGGCTCCGAAACTCTCAGCCTTCGGCGGCGGCTGAGAAATTTTTAATTTTTTTGCCCCTACGGCGGCTGTATTTTTTTCCCAAAAATCGGCGGCGGCGGCGGCTCAGCCACACGGCTTACACCTCTAGTTCTAACACGTGACATTAGCGAAGAGTGTGGGTGTGGGGTGTGGGTGGTGTGTGGGTGTGGGTGGGTGTGGGTGGGTGTAGTTGGGTTTGTAGATTTTCTTTTAAGGTATCCTCACCCAAACCCCACACCCCACACCCACATCCACACCCACCCACACCCACCCACACCCACACCCACCCACACCCACACCCGCACCACCCACACCCACACCCACACCCACCCTCACCTTATGATTATTGTTCATATTTATGTATATGTTGATTAGAAAATTCTTACATGCGTCATATGATAATGGAAAGAAAAATAGATAATTCAATCTGAAAATATTTTCCTATATTACTAGGAAAATCCTATATATTCCTATTTATTCGCAAAGAACTGCTACGAAGCCTGCTAAATACTAAAGTTGGCTAAAAAGTGCATATTTATGCATACTGACCCTTAGTGATCAAAATTGTTAGGCCTAAATCTTGTGAAGGGAACACTTTTAAAATAAGATATTTTGGTTTTCTTAGTTTCATAACATGCTCTATCGATCTAGCAAATAAAGAGAAAAAAACAAATTTTGACAGATGCCAGTCATGATTGTTGCTCTTGTGGACTCTCTCTTTATATTGAAAATCAAAGAGATTGATGTTGATAAATGATAATTAGATAATGGTGATATCAAATCATTTGAATTATTATCTATCATTGCTGCTGATGATGAAAATGTTGATGCTGTACTCGCAACAACAAGTGATGTTGATGAAAGTAATTCAGTTAAATTTGTTGAACTACTTGTTGTTTTCATAAATGATAATTCTTGTTTTGTTGTTGTTGTTTGAGATAAATTGGTTTTATGAAATGACGTTATATGATGAATATGTGCAATATGATATGAATGACATAAAGATGATTGACGTTGTAATTTAGCGGGTCTAACAAACAAATAAAAACATGTGCAAAAAAACGTAGCAAGAGCAACAAGCAAATATATTTATCATATAAATCAAAAAAGTGCTCGTGTGAATACAACTTAAAAAGCATTTTGTGTTTTTTAAGACACCAACCCTTTTCTTTTCAATCAAACGTCTATAAAGCTCATTTTGTTCACTTGCAGAAACAACTGTTTCAGTTGATGCATAATATAAAAGTACTTGAGAATTATCATCATTCATATTATTAAATAATTTAAATAAATAAACTCATTAAAGGAAAAAAAAATGAAAATCAATTTAGTCTTGAACTGATATTGTTTCATCAAATGAACGTATATTGTTGGTAATATTCCATTACCATCATTTTTTTTGTATACTTGTATAAGTCACTGGATTATTAAATAAAAATGGTGTTAATTTTTTTCTTTTTGCTAATTCGATCGAGAGATCTTCGAAAGTATTTCAATAATCTTTGAAAAATAAAAAGTAAAATTATTTATTTAAATTTATTTTTTTGTTACTTTATCTAAATCATATTTATTAAATAACATATATGGATCAAATAAATTTCGATCACGAAAATTTAATTCACATCTGCATCTATATCAAAAATAGACAAAACATTTTGTAACTAGAGAAACTAAAATCCATTCATATTATTTATTTCCATTAAAGAATATTATTTCTTATATCAATTTTTGTGGTCGAAATGAAATATCTGTATATTTTATTATTCCGGGTACTAAATAATTGAGTAAATCACATAAAACAATAGCTATATAAATGATTATTTGATGTTTTTTTTTTTCTTGCTAAAAAATATTTTATTTTGCTAACAAACGATCAGACAAGATATCTGCTAGATCCTCAATTGTATTTGTTTGTAAATTTAAAATTCGATTAGCTTCTAGTGATAAAACATGCAATTGATTTAGCCATTGAAATGCTTAGCGTCAAATTGGTTGAAAAGTTTTATTTGGGTCGTATGATGGCGGTAATGCTGATGGATTATTCATTAGTTTGTTTATTGATCGTTGATTACTACATATATCTTAGAGGAAAACAAACGAAAAACGTTAATAAGCAAGTAAAGATTCTATCGTTTTTTTTTTTATTACTGATATGTTTATTGAAATGACCAATGGAAAACGGGTTTTTAACCTCTATTCACCATAACGAAGAAAAAAATCATTTTTTACATTAAAAAAAATCACAAAAATAATTTGAAATTTTATTGAAAATTTTAATTAAAAAAACACACAAAAAGATTTTGATTTGTTAATTATATCTCTTTGTTCGCGCTTTCGACATTTCTCTTCACAGTTTTCGCAGTCACAGTAGCAGTTAATCAACAAATTCTACCATCATTTTTATTCAAATGTTATTTTTCTAGATCATATTGGAATAGTTTAACATTCTATTCCACTAAAACTACGTCTTATGGTACATGGTTATCATCAGTAAATTCTTCATTAATTGTTGAAAATATTTTAACACTACTAGAAATTCAAATTGATGAAAAAGGTAATATTTATTGGCTTGAACATTGTTCATGTGAAAATGGCCATTATGTAATTCATTCAGACAAGCAACAAGATGGTTTAATATCAAAATCATTTAATTGTCGTCGTACATGTGTTCATGAATATGGTAGTGGACCATATTAGAGGCCATTCATAAGGGGCGTTCAAGCAAAAGAGAAGAAAGTTACTAAAAAACGCACATTGCTGTATAGATTAGGTATATCAGACATATTGAGAAGTCTAGACGGTG